ATGTATGTGCCACCCCTCGTGAGGACTGAACTCAATATTCACTTGCAATTCATTTAGCGAGACACGGTTGTTAACCATTACAACACGTCGAGTACCCACCTGTTTCCTCATTACGTGTGCTAGAAATTTCAATTCTCTCTTCCTGATGTTAAGAATAGGTGTCCTTTTTGTTTCCATTTTCACAGCAAAGGGCACTATTTTAAAGGCAAGGAAGGGCAAAAATATTTTAAGTCAAGTGATAGCGATTGCTGTATGAGTCGTACGATTTTTGATTCAAGTACGGGTAACGCTGGGCCATGCTGCTAGTATGTTTATATTGAAAGACTTCTTTCTGGGGGATAATAATGATTTAGTAATACAAGTTAAAGGAGTGCCCTTTTCCGTGCTGATGTTGCTACATGCTTTACTTCTTGCCTATCTCACACTGCGAATTATTTCTAAGCTCTATACTAAACATTAAATCTGTTACGAAAAAAGAACTAAACAAAATGAACACAAAACGATCAGCTTTCAAAAAGGACTCGTAACTGGAAAAACCGAATGAAAAAAGAATGTTAACAACAAATACTTTTTCACACCCAACCCAGTTCTGCGGAATCAGAATCAACGTTGAGTTTAAGCAAGCGAATGAGCCAATTGGAGTAAAGTGCCATGCAGATTTAAATTTTTCCCACTTGTGACGAATGCAGCTATCGATTTTTTTTTGCATGTTAGCATGCTAGTTAACATTTGTGTCAGTCAGCTGTTGGTTCTCACGCTGGCCAATAGAATCTTCCTTCCCATTCGTGGCAGCCAGCTATAGGCTCTCACTCTGGCCAGTAGAAAATGGCCGCAAACTACATGAAAACTGCCTTAGAAACATGAAAAATCGATTATTTCCACTATCGATGGGAGTTGGGAAATGCAAAGTCGGTGTTGGCCTTTCCCGCTAACTTGGAGCATGTGCATGTAGATTTTGTTGCAAATCCATCTAAAATTGCGGCCGTGCATTCGTTACACACACACACACACACACATCCTGACTTTTATAGCTAGAGATTTATTAACACAAACAAAACAGTATCTGTCTATATTTCTGAGATGAGGTATTATATACTCTGTTTACATTATTCGGCCTATTGTCCTGATCTGTGTCGCCATATTTATTATTACGTTTCGGCCGTTGTACGCTCCGGCCTCCTTCGGGTGGTTGGAATGACGAACTGCACCCTTTATTTCGCTCACTGGTGTAGACTGTTCTTCGTGCCATGTTTAATGTCAGTTACCTCCTGTCAATTCGCCTAGGTCGGTTGTACTTGTGTTTGGAATAAACCCACTTTTTTCTGTTTTACTTGGTAACCCACGATGCCAAAGGAAGACATTTTTTTAATATCACTTTTTGATTGGATGCCCACCCGATATTAATGCCTGAGGTCATTGCACCCTCCGCCTCCCCTTCTGCATGCTACTGCCTGCAGATGAAACAACCTCGAAGCAGTTGAGGAGGGATATTTCCTCTGGAAGGGATTCTCTCTTTGTCTCTGGTTCAAAGGGATAAACCCAACACTTATCCTGGATTAGGAAATCTTCAAATAAACCAGCTGGATCTGCCTCGGACAATGTCAGATTTTCCTGTGTGCACTTTCAGACTGGTGCACTTTTGAACATCCTCCGCCCGTTTTGTCTTGTCGCGACCCTGTGCCTGACTCTGATGCTACAGGCATTTACCCAATGTTGCGTGTAGCACAAGACTAGTTTTTTAATGTGGTGAGATTCCGAACCCGTATGCTCAGACAAAAATTCCCCGTAGACCCTGTATACACGAGGTCGGGTTTGTTTACCTCCCCAGATGAGGTTTTGCCTTTTGGCATAGCATCGTATGGGTTCCTCTCTCCGCGCAGACGAATAGTTCGACAAGTTTATCGCGAGCCCAACAGTGAACTGCCTGACTCCAATACTAATACACAAGCTCTTATATCATGAACCTCTTTATAATATTGGACGTGTTCATACAGTTACCGGGTGTATACTCTTTACTCCATAACAAACAAGAATAATTAAAACGGGGTCAGGCAGCTGTTTCCCGAGACCAGACTCTGCCCTTCGACATAGCCTCTTCCGGAGACCCTCTCTGTCCGAATTTCCAATTACAGGATATCTAACAACCGCCTCACGCGGTCAAATGTGACACAAGGCCGAATTTAATGTTGGAGTATCCGAGCCCGTAGGATCGGCCCAAAATGCCCTGTGGACCCCGTATAAAGCGGGATCGGGCAGCTGTTTCCCGAGACGAGACTCTGCCCTTCGACATAGCCTCGTCCGGAGACCCTCTCTGTCCTGGGACAGAGAGTTTGACCAGCACAGATGGAGACGAATCTCCAACTACAGACCAACATACAGTATTTACTACTGTATTTATGTGAATGAAGATATATCCATTATCGACCGTAGGTTTGCTCCAGCAGGTTTTCCACCCAGGTCAAAATTTCTCCAGCCCCCGCAAAAGTGAGATCGGGTACAGTTTGTTTTTCTTAGCCAAGTATCTACCCGAAGATAGAGCCCCGACTAAGTCATCCTCCGCCCGAAGATAGACGTTTTGTCGCGATCCTGTAGATGATTCCGATTCTACTGGTACCTATCGAATGGCCACAAGGCGGGATGTGACACAATGCCGGTTTTTATGTGGGGCAATTCCGAACACATAGTCTAGGTAAAAAATTTCCCGTACACCCCGCATACACGAGGTAGAGTTTGTCTACCGCCTCAGACGAGACTCTGCCTATAGTGTCTGTTCATAGGCATAGTATATGTCGAATATATGACCCTACCATTTATTATGGCTTAATCTATCTTCGTATACGATCTCAGTGGTTTGGGTGCGTTCTGGCGCAAAATTTTAAAAACGCCCTTCTTAAGGGGTTCTTCGCATAAAGTTGGATATTATGCAACACTAAAACTCCCTAAATATGAAATATGTCGAATATCTGATCGTAGCATTGTCAGAAAATATTTTTTATAGGTTGCATCGATTTATTAAAAATTTATGTTACAAACAGCGCGGACCCATGAACTCCTTGCTTGGTTGATTTTGTTTGACTGCATATCAGCCTCAATGTGTTATTTAACGCTTAAAAAAATTATGCGTAGAGCTAAATATATTTTGAGCGCAATTGTTTAACTTCAACTACAGATAAAATGTATTTTGGTAATTCTAATATAAAATGTACTGCTGACCATTTTGCTTTAAAAGAATTTTAAGAGTTGGTTATTTTACTATAAATATGTAGTCTTGGTAATTTTTTATATAAAAATGTATTGTTGGTATTTTTACTATAAAAAAATGTATATTATACTTTCATAGTTTTTTATTTTTGTTTGGGTTTTCACTATTTGCCCATAGCTGGGGCCCTAACAGGAGCTACCACCCAGCTTCAAGGTGAATCTGGGAACAACAGCAATTCAGAGGTGGTTCTTCGTTCCTAAAAAAAAAAAACTTAATTCCAATCTCCCGATCAAAGGCCGTGCTGTTGGATGTACTTTATCGTCATACACAGAAACAGATGACTTTAATACTGGCCGCTTTAAAGTAATTGTGACTTTTTTTTTCCGTAGCCAAAATTATGAATTTTTCTATGACAATTTTTTTCCTGTGACCTTTTCCTGGTCAAAATTGTGATTTTCTGTGCCATTTTTTCCTGTGACTTTTTCCCTAGCCAAAGCTGTGGCTTTTTTCCTGTGACTTTTTCCCTAGCCAAAGCTGTGACTTTTTCACTAGCCAAAGCTGTGACATTTTTCTGTGACTTTTTCCCTAGCCAAAGCTGTGACATTTTTCTGTGATTTTTCCCTAGCCAAAACTGTGTCTTTTTCCCTAGCCAAAGCTGTGACTTTTTTTCCTGTGACTTTTTCCCTAGCCAAAACTGTGACTTTTTTCTGTGACTTTTTTTTTTGTTCAGCAACTGGAAGGCGATGTTTCTGTAATGATGTGAAATATTTAAGAATAATTTCGATAAATTGGCTTCCAATTTGGTTTTGGGCTGAAAATTTTGTCGGACGGGATGGAAACACATCTGGTTTGAAAGCAATGCCAGCGGCAGTTTACGCTTACAACCTTAATTCAATTTTACTTGAATTCAATTTTACTTGAATTCAATTTTACTTGAATTCAATTTAACTTCATACTTTTAATTTTTTTATATTTTTCTTCCTTTTGTGTGTGTGTATGTGTGTGTGTGTGTAGAGGTTTTCTGGTTTTAGTTGCAGTAAATTAGTTTTGCCTTTTGTTGGTAATTATCTGATTAATTAATGGGTAAATTACGTGACGTCACAAATAGTAAAACTAAATTTAATTACGCTAATAGAATTAGGATTTTGTTTAGCGTGGAGGAAGAAGCAAACAGTTGCGGGTTGGAAAGAGGGTTGGCGATGAAAGAACGAAAATCAATTAGTAATTTTGTTTTTTTTTTGTCTCTCTCTAAATCGATCCGTTCTAAAATCTCTCTCTCTCTGATACTTTCTATCACCTTCTCAATTGCCCCGCGCTCTCTGTATTTTTCTCTCCCCACCTCTCTGTCTCTCTCTGTATGTCTCTATTGCTGTCTCTGTTTCTTTTTATTTCACTTTCTCTCTCTCTAACTTGCAGTCTTTGTCACGCTTGTCTTTGTTCCTGACTATTCCCTTACTAGTAAGGATATATCTCTATTTTCTTTTGCGTCCACATCATTCTGCTCATTTAATTAATTTAACGATCTGTCAAAACATTCCCCTGACTAAATCGTGATATCTGAGAAATTTCTTTCTTTCTTTTTTTTCCTTTTTCTTTCTTTCTTTTTTTAAATTTTTTCTTTCGATCGTTTTTGGCTTTATATTTAGTAATATCAATCATTTAAATCGTAATTCGTAATTATCCCTGTATACATTATTTACATTACACTGGGACTCCTCGTGCGCAAAGGCTGTCCTCTGCGTATGGGAATATTGAAAAAACGCAAAGGTTGTTAGATGAAGCGGATTCAACGTTTAAGCGAGATAGGCAACGCGCGGTCGCCGAAGCCCCGAAGGCTCGTCCGAGCCGCGTGATTGGTTGTTTGAAAGAGGCGGCAATTCAACGTTCCTTGTGCGCGCAAGCTATGCTCCGCGTGTGGTGGGCATTCACCGCGGCCGTCGGACGCGTAGCGGTGGTAAGCGGTCGAATTGAAGGCACTAAGAACTACAGGACGAGTCTCTCCGCGCAATTCAACGCTCTTCGTGCGCGCAAGCTGTTCTCAGCGTGTGGTGGTCGTCTCTGCGGGGCCGTCGGACGCGTAGCGGTGGTAAGCGGTGCGAATTGAAGGCCATAAGAAATACAGGACGACTCTCGCCGCGCAATTCAACGCTCTTAGTGCGCGCAATCTGTCCTCTGCGTGTGGTGGTCGTCGCCGCGGCCGTCGGACGCGTAGCGGTAGTAAGCGGTGCGAATTGAAAGCTCTAAAAAATACAGGACGACTCTCTCCGCGCAATTCAACGCTCTTAATGCGCGCAAGCTGTCCTCTGCGTGTGGTGGTCGTCGCAGCGGCTGTCAGGCGCGTAGCGGTGGTAAGCGGTCGAATTGAAGACTGTAAGAACTACAGGACGACACTCTCTGCGCAATTCAACGCTCTTCGTGCGGGCAAGCTGTCCTCTGCGTGTGGTGGTCGTCGCAGCGGCCGTCGGACGCGTAGCGGTGGTAAGCGGTCGAATTGAAGGCTCTAAGAACTACAGGACGACTCTCTCCGCGCAATTCAACGCTCTTCGTGTACGCAGGCTGTCCTCTGCGTGTGGTGGTCTTCGCCGCAAATATCGGTGACTCTGGATAACTCACTAGTCGATCGGTCTGGCTTTTACGCCTGGCGACGGGCTTGTCGAGGGTCCACCCTAACACCTATGGGTAACGGAGAATCAGGGTTCGATTCCGGAGAGGGCGCATGCGAACAGTTCTGCTCTCCGGACTTCTCCAGTGTTCTGTTGATCCGGTTAACCTTCAGGGAGTTTCTAAATAAATTTTTCTATCTCTATCTATAAAAGCAGGATGTGTGTGTGTGTGTGTGTGTGCGTGTGTGTGTGTGTGTGTGTGTGTGTGTGTGTGTGTGTGTGTGTGTGTGTAACGAATGCACGGCCGCAATTGTCGACGGATTTGCACCAAAATTTACATGCACATGCTCCAAGTTAGCCGGAAAGGCCAACACCGACATTGCATTTCCCAACTCCCATCGATAGTGGAATTAATCGATTTTTTCATGCTTCTACGGAAGTTTTCATGTAGTTTGCGGCCATTTTCTACTGGCCAGAGGGAGAGCCTATAGCTGGCTGCCACGAATAGGCAGTAAGATTCTATTGGCCAGCGTGAAAGCCAACAGCTGACTGACACGAATGTTAACGAGCATGCTCCCATGCAAAAAACATCGATAGCTGCATTTGTCACAAGCGGGAAAAATTTAAATCTGCATGGCACTTTACTCTAATTGGCTCATTCGCTTGCTTAAACTCAACGTTGATTCTGATTCCGCAGAACTGGGTTGGGTGTGAAAAAGTATTTGTTGTTAACATTCTTTTTTCATTCGGTTTTTCAAGTTACGAGTCCTTTTTTTAAAGCTGATCGTTTTGTGTTCATTTTGTTTAGTTCTTTTTTCGTAACAGATTTAATGTTTAGTATAGAGCTGAGAAAAAATTCGCTGTGTTAGAGAAGCAAGAAGTAAGGCATGTAGCAACATCAGCACGGCAAAGGGCACTCCTTTAAAGGCAAGGAAGGGCAAAAATATTTTAAGTCAAGTGATAGCGATTGCTGTATGAGTCGTACGATTTTTGAATCAAGCACGGGCAACGCCGGGCCATGCTGCTAGTTTAATCTAAGCGGGAAGTGTTATTGCCATCTGGTTTCGTACTTTTCTAAGGCTGTTCAGTTATTTCTCGTCCTTCCTGAGTCTAATCTATATTATTCACTCCAGGCACTAAATTCCTTATTTCTTAATTTCACTATTATTTTCTTTTTATGTGCCATGTTCTTTTCAGGAGGTAGGCGATCATGGCTCTCCACTTCGCTCTACCCCTTGCAGTTCTCAGCAAGTTCCTTCCCTCTGCTACCTCCCCAGGTCACGTTCTGTCATCCACTTACTTAAGCCAGTTAGGTATGTCATGCGTTGTTTTCTCTTTCTTTCAATTCGACCTGTGAGTATCAGATTCTCCAGGCTCCCCTTTCTCATTATGTATCCCAGGAACTTTATCTGCCTCTTCCTATAGGCCTCCTCTTTGTTTGCAACCTCATCGTTGCTGACGTGCTCGGTCCATGATATCCTTAGCATCCTTCTGCAGAACCATATCTCCGTTGCCTCGAGTCTCTTCTTCATCTTTGAGGAAGTTCCCGAGCCAAGATAATGCAAAAGGCTATTGTCCCGGGGACCTAAAATTTGAATAGTTAAAATCAATATTCTTATTGGTTGCCTGACTGCTGCTGCTTTAGCTGCTGCTACCTGGCTTTCCACCTCGCAATTTCTCTTTTCTTACTACTGGAGCTGCTGAACCCAGGCTGTGAAATTTCTCTCTTTCTTTCTTTCTTTCTTTCTTTCTTTCTTTCTTTCTTTTTTTCTTATCAGCTCGCACATGGTGTTTATTTTTTTATTTTACTTTACTGATAACGTCTCAGCCTAGCATTGTCTGCCTTGCTTGATGCTCACCCGCTGCTGCCCTTTTGACGTTGCTGTCACGCATGACCACCTTCGTCGCCGCTTATCTTTTCTTACTGCTGATGTTAAAACCTTGCTGTGAAACTTGGATTTTTTTCAGTACCACCCCAGCGTTTATTAGTAATGGCTCTTACATAGTATTTAGTTGATGATAAGCCTAAAGAGGCAATCAAAAACTAGTAGATAATGATATCTATCTATATTCATTATCTATTTCTCATTTTTCTCTTCGATCTCTATCTCTCTATCTCTCTAATCATATTCAATATCTATCTGTCTATTTCTCTCTCTCTCTCTCTATGTCTTCAATATCAATCTATAATATTCAGTACATATCGATCTATCTATGGATCTATCGATCTATCTATCAATGTCTTCATTATCAATGTATAACATTCTGTTCATATCTCTCTCTAATTATATTCAATATCCATCTACCTCATTTTTCTCTTCGAGCTCTCTCTCTCTCTCTCTCTCTCTCTCTCTTCATATTCAATATCTATCTGTCTATCTCTCCCACTGTTTCTCTCGGTATATGTCCTCATTATCAATCAATAATATTCATTTAATATCTATCTATCTATCTATCTATCTATCTATCTATCTATGTGGAAAGCGTCATTTAGCCTGACGTTCAGTTACACGATTCAGCCACAGAGGACTTCCTGTTTAGCAAAGCTCAAATCTATCTATCTATCTATCTATCTATCTATCTATCTATCTATCTATCTATCTATCTATCTCAATATATATATATATATATATATATATATATATATATATATATATATAGAGAGAGAGAGAGGGAGGAGGAGACAGACAGACAGACAGACAGACAGACAGAGATTTCTATGTCTTCATTATCAATCTATAACATTCTGTTAATATTTATATATCTATCAATCCCACTATCTAATTATATTCAACATCTATCTATCTATCTATCTATCTATCTATGTCTTCATTATCAATGTATAATACTCTGTTCATATCTATCTAATTATATTCAATCTCTCTCTCTCTCTCTATATATATATATATATCTCTCTATATATATATATATATATATATATATATATATATATATATACGGAGAGTAATTCTAAAAGAAAGGCTGAAATCAGCAGCACCTAAAAGGTGTAGTCAACAAAATATGCTAAATACAAAATTCAAAATCGAATATGCGCAGCTAAGATATTTAAGAAAAGACTAAAATGCCAATCAACCATACCTGTGGAGACCTTACGGACGAAACCCGGTTTGCAATGTTCGTTGGCATTTTAATCTTTTCTTAAATATAGATATTTATATATATATATATATTACTCTGCTTCTGTCTATATATTGATCTATTTCTCTCTCTGCCTGCCTGCCTGCCTGACACCCTCCCTCCCTCCCTGTCTCTCTCTCTTTCTCTCCCTCTCTCTCTCTCTCTCTCTATCTATCTATCTATATATATATATATATATATATATATATATAATGCAGGATATGTGTGTGTGTGTGTGTGTGTGTGTGTTTGTGTGTAACCAATGCACGGCCGCAATTTTCGATGGATTTGCACCAATCGATTTTTTCATTCTTCTACGCCAGTTTTCATGTAGTTTGCGGCCATTTTCTACTGGCCAGAGTGAGAGCCAATAGCTGGCTGCCACGAATAGGCAGGAAGATTCTATTGGCCAGCGTGAGAGCCAACAGCTGACTAACAAGAATGTTAACTAGCATGCTAGCATGCAAAAAAAAAATCGATAGCTGCATTTGTCACAAGTGGGAAAAAATTAAACCTGCATGTCAATTTACTCCAATTGGCTCATTCGCTTGCTTAAACTCAATGTTGATTCTGATTCCACAGAACTGGGTTGGGTGTGAAAAAGTATTTGTTGGTAACATTCTTTTTTCATTTGGTTTTTCCAGTTACGAGTTCTTTTTTTTAAAGCTGATCGTTTTGTGTTCATTTTGTTTAGTTCTTTTTTCGTAACAGATTTAATGTTTAGTATAGAGCTTAGATAAAATTCGCAGTGTGAGATAGGCAAGAAGTAAGGCATGTAGCAACATCAGTACGGCAAAGGGCACTCCTTTAAAGGCAAGGAAGAGCAAAAATATTTTAAGTCAAGTGATAGCGATTGCTGTATGAGTCGTACGATTTTTTGAATCAAGCACGGGCAACGCCGGGCCATGCTGCTAGTTTCTACTAAACCTTGTTCCGCCATCCATCTTACTAAGTCATGCGTTGTTTTTCTCTGGTCCTTTTTGCCTTTAATCTGACCTGTGAGTATCAGATTTTCCAATCCCCCTTTCCTCATTATGTGCCTTAGAAATTTCAGCTGTCTTTTCCTGATGTTAAGTTTCTTTTTTGCTTCCATTTTTTTTTAAAAAAAAATCTTTCTGGTTGCTATCACATAGTAATGAGTTCTGAGACGACAGAAAGTGCCATGACTCCATGACATCAGACTTTCTCTCCCACGAGCCCAGCCGAGAGCCATCATTCCTCGGATAGCATTCTGGTTCAACTTCCGCATGATTGCAAGAATTGTAACAATCAATTACTGTTGAAATAGGCTTCTTCTGATTCCTATCTTCGAGTTATTTTTCCTCCTTTTTTTTTTTCATCAATTTATAATTTTCCAACTTATAGGTTTGAATGGTACGTTGGATCTTCATTATTCGTTGTTGGGTAATTTTTTTTTTTTAATCTCATGTTTACTTGTTATCGCAACCTTCAAGATTGAACTCCGATTTCACGCTGTTTATTTTAATGGATGCAGGATATGTTGACTGAGAGCACGGGCTTACACAAAAATGAATTAAAAAAAAAAGAGTAACCTTCTTATAATTACGATACTTTAAACAATGAATTGTTTGCTAATGAGTATCTCGGATAACTGCAAAAATAGAGCAGCATTATTACTATAGTTTTTACTCTTGTTTTACAATTAGGATTTTGTGGGCGAATTAGTTAAGGCCTTCTCGAATCAAAATGGAATACGGGTTCAAGTCACGTTGAGGACGCCTACCTTATTCCCAAGCAACTCGAGCAGCACTTGAAATGTTTGCTTATATGGAAATCGCTATTTCCATTACTATTTGAAAAAAGAACAGATACAACGCTTTGATCTTATCCCAGTCACCAGGCAGAGAAGAAAAACCTATTTCGATTAGTACTTGGCTTCACGTTCAATGAATATTAAATGATTCCTTATGAGAAAACGGCTAATATTACCAGTACTGTTAGAAATGGGGAGAACAGATACTACGCTTTGATCCTATCCCGATAAGCAGGGAGTGAAGAAAAACCTATTTCGATTAGCATTTGGTATCACCTTCAATAAATAGTTAATGTTTCCTTATGAGGAAACGGCTAATATTGTCATTACTATTAGAAAAAAGAACAGATACTCCGCTTTGATCTTATCCCGGTGACCAGGGAGTGAAGAAAAACGTATTTCGATTAGCACTTGGCTTCACGTTCAATGAATGGTAATGTTTCCTTATGAGGAAACGGTTAATATTACCATTACTATTAGAAATGAGGAGAACACATACTACGCTTTGATCCCAGCCAAGTGGCGAGAGAGTGGGAAAAGAACGTAATTCGATTAGCACTTGGCTTCACGGTCAATGAATGGTAAATGTTAACTTATACAGAAACTGCTAATATTACCATTTCTATTAATAAAAAAAATAGAACAGATACTACACTTTGATCCTATCCTGGTGACCATGGAAGGAAGAAAGATTTAAATCGAGTAACATTGGCTTCTCAGTCAATGTATCTCTATCTAGAAAAGGCAGGATGTGTGTGTGTGTGTGTGTGTAAGGAATGCACGGCCGCAATTTTCGACGGATTTGCACCAAAATGTACATGCACATGCTCCAAGTTAGCAGGAAGGCCAACATCGACGTTGCATTTACCAACTCCCATCGATAGTGGAAATAATTGATTTTTTCTACGGCAGTTTTCATGTAGTTTGCGGTCTTTTTCTACTGGCCAGAGTGAGAGTCAATAGCTGGCTGCCACGCATAGGCAGGAAGATTCTATTGGCCAGCGTGAGAGCCAACAGCTGACTGACACGAATGTTAACTAGCATGCTAGCATGCAAAAAAAATTAGACAGCTGCATTCGTCACAAGTGGAAAAATTTAAATCTGCATGGCACTTTACTCCAATTGGCTCATTCGCTTGCTTAAACTCAACGTTGATTCTGATTCCGCAGAACTGGGTTTGGGTGTGAAAAAGTATTTGTTGTTAACATTCTTTTTTCATTCGGTTTTTACAGTTACGAGTCCTTTTTTAAAGCTGATCTCTTTGTGTTCATTTTGTTCAGTTCTTTTTTCGTAACAGATTTAATGTTTAGTATAGAGCTTAGAAAAAATTCGCAGTGTGAGATAGGCAAGAAGTAAGGCATGTAGCAACATCAGCACGGCAAAGGGCACTCCTTTAAAGGCAAGGAAGGGCAAAAATATTTTAAGTCAAGTGATAGCGATTGCTGTATGAGTCGTACGATTTTTTGAATCAAGCACGGGCAACGCCGGGCCATGCTGCTAGTTTCTACTAAACCTTGTTCCGCTACTTTAAACGCAAAAATATTTTGAGTCAAGTGATAGTGATTGATGTATGAGTCGTACGATTTTTGAATCAAGCACGGGCAACGCCGGGACATGCTGCTAGTGCCTAACGTTTGCTTATAAGGAAACGGGTAATATTACTATTCTCATTGCCATTGTCGTCATTTTTTTCTTTTTTTTTTATTTGAAAATCGATTGCAAACGTCAAACTTATCCCCCTTTTTGTATGGCACTTTCTAATTCTTCACCGAATCATTTCCTCCCACATCGTGTGGGTTTCGTTTTGACTCTCTTGAAATGATCACACGCGCAAAAACACGGAAATTACGCATAAGCAATTCTCTCATACAGACCCCCATCCCACCATCTTCTCTTCCCACGCCTCCATTTCTACAAATGGCAGGATTCTCTATCGATCGACCGATTCATCAAAGTTTCCAATTCCCCAACCTCCGAACAGATCTTGATCGCATTATGACAGGATCACAAAGTTCACAATATGCCGTTCATGGTCCAGAGTAAGCCCACAAAAAAAAAAGCTAAATTAGTGTGAGGGGATTGTTTCTTTCTGGTCTTTCAGTCATTGTTCAGTACCACCACGCCCTAATAAGCGATCTTTATATTTTTCATTTAAATAATGCTCTTTTGTGCCCGGTCTGCTATTAAGTGGTTACAGAAGCCTGAATAGACTTTGGCGAGAGTGTACTACAGTGTTTTATAGTATTTGATGTTTTGTCGCCATTATTTGATTTTCAAGTGAACTTCCCTGTGCCAAATTGGTTTTCACTGAAATCGAGAAAGGCAGGCAGAATTTATATCACAGAAGGATGAATCATACAGTGTGTATCAAAAATAATTTTACAGATATTTGGGGAGGGTTACTCACACCAAAACAAGGACAAAAGTTCATATAAACATATGCCCACAAATTCTTCGTTTTTGAGTTATTAAGTGTCATGGGTCCTTACCTATGTTCCTTACCTATAATTGCAGAATGAACTCTTCCTAACACCATGTATACTACGCCTCTCATGAGAGAGGGTCGAATCGAGTCGAGCCGATAGTAGTTCACTCCAAACCAAACTGACAGTCATACTAACACCTTCCACATCTTGTATTATTATTTCGTGTAATATACCTTCGTTATTTCTACTCTTGTGTTCGTGTTGTTCTTCCTTGGTCCTAAACTGGACCATAACACTAAGTCACTTTAATATCTATCTATCTATCTATCTATCTATCTATCTATCTATCTATCTGTCATGGGCCATTACCTATAACTACAGAATGAACTTTTCCTAACACTATGTATACTACGCCTCCCAAGAGAGAGGGTCGAATCGAGTCGAGCTTCTCGGCTTGACGGTCAAACTCTCTGCCTCTGAGCAGAGAGGAACCCGGATGAGACTCCGCCGAAGGGCAGTTCTCGTTCGGGGAGGTTGAACAACCCGATTCCGTGTATACGGTTTCTACGGGCATTTTTGGGTGAGCCTACGGGCTCGGGAAACCCACGTTAAACTCGGCTTTGTGCCACATGCAACCCTCGTGGGGTGTGGCTAGATACCGAATCGAGTCGAGCCGATAGTAGTTCACTCCAAGCCAAACTGACAGTCATACTAACACCTTCCACATCTTGTATTATTATTTCGTGTAATATACCTTCGTTATTTCTACTCTTGTCTTCGTGTTGTTCTTCCTTGGTCCTTATCTGGACCATAACATTAAGTTTACAGAAAGTTTACGATAAACAGTGCTGTATAGACTAGGTTACATTTGTTATTCGTGTACATTTGTGGCCAGTCTGTCTGCAACGTTTAACGTGTTTAGTATTGAGTTAATTAAGAAGTGTTCCGTTTAACAATCCCAGTATATTTATATCGTGAGCAGGCAGATATTTTTTGTTGCACACGGCCGCGCGAATGGCAATGAACGCGAGGCTGCACGGCTGTATCAGATTGCGTTTCCAAGCTGAAGGCAGTCGAGTAATCCAACTTATGCTGCTGTTTATCGTCGCGTCGCTGGGACAGGATCCCTGGCATCCCAAACTAATTTATCGAGCAAAATACGTCCGTCTGACCACGAAGAATCCATTTGACGTAAGCCTGATCACGAAGATCACATTTTACATCGCCTTTTGGATATATGTTTATACGGATATTTTACCTTGTTTTGGTGTCAGATACCCGCCCCCAAAGTTTGTGAAAGTAGTTTTGAGACATCCTGTATATACTCTGCGAGAGTTAGAACTGGGCGAGAATGGAGTAGTGCCGTCAGATCTGGTCTAGAGTCACCCATTACTCGCCTTCAGGCTTTGCTAGTGGTCAAAATCTTTTACGCATTCTTGTGGGTGATGAACTATTATTTTCCACCATACAATCCTTTTCCCCACAGTCGAAAATGTTGCAAGCCTCTCGGTACACTATCTTTATTTCCTTACCAAAATAGTCAGACTAACTAAATTCCTTAGTTCCACCAATTCAGACGTATGCAGTTAAAACCACTCATGCCACGTACACAAGCTCGAATCGTCGTTATTTTTCACTAAGTGCCCATGGATGGTGATTTTTGATACATTTAGTGGTTCTGTCAATTCCAGTGTTTTAATTTGGTCATCATCTGTAGTGGGGCCTGCGTTCTTCATTAATAAGGCTACAACCACCAACCCTTAAAATTAATGTTGTGGTAGGATCCACCTAATTTGCATGGTGGAGCTTACGGTCAAGTCACGCTGAAACACCGGTTCTCGTTCGGTCACCGAAGTTAAGCATCGTAGAGCCAGGTCAGTACTTAGATGGGGGACCGCTTGGGAACACCTGGTACTGTAAGCCCCCAAATCCAACCCTTACCTCTCAGTCGGTGGGGCAGGGGTGTAAACGGTAGTGTCAGAGCTATGCCGCCCGGAACTTCGTTCCTGGTAGGGCCACCCAAGGCTGACAGGTCTGACACACACGCCGGCTAACAAGGGCTCTGGGGAAAATCCAAGGAGCGTCTGCATCGGCAACCGGCGGCTTCTGGTCGTTCCTGTCTCTGCGTCTGTGGGAACACCGCGGCAAGCAAGAACGTTATCCGAGTAGGCCTGGGTACCCTACTTCTGTAATTTATCCCAAGAATCTTCTTCTCACAACAGGAAGAAGCCGGCTCAATCCGCCCAGGGTGAATGCCGCATCAGTACAGTACAGTACATAGTGGAGTACCGACCATATAAATATGGTTGGTACCGGGAAGAGAGGGAGGAATCAAGAGATTCAACCAGAGACTCTGCCCGACTGCGACTCAGTCAACACATTCTCCAGGAACGGTCTTAGCAGGAATATACAAAAGACTATATGTAAATATTGTGTACACTTTCTTGTTTCAATACATTTTGTTCTAAGTACATTTTGTGTTGCATTAATATTCCATGCATTAGTCAAGTTTCAACACTTAACGAACCACTTCTGTATAGTTCTTTCGCATTCCATTAGTATGCAGAAAGTACAGCTCAGCTTCTTCCCTAGAACGGCGACTCCCGAGAGAATGCTTTCCCGATCACTATAATCTCACTCTCTAAAAATCTAATGTCAACTGTTATCTATATTTCATATATTCATAATCTGCATTTAATTCTTCCTCTTGCGGCCACTGAGCAACTTTATAAAATAGTAATAACATCAAGACAATAAGTGTATAAATGAAAGAGAGACGGGGAAATGTCGAGTGAGGCAGCAATTTTTTCTCGTTAGCTAATTAAGAATGGAAGTAGTCATGGCCTCTACCAAGAATCTGTCTTTTAAAAAATTCACGTTTAAGGATTGGTAAAACACTTCAAATATTTTGGCGCATGGATCAGTTATAAAACATTTTTATCTATTCCATGCGATGCCTGATTTCTTTTTTTTGTCTTTTACCTCTATACAGAAACATTTCAAAGCTCATCAGGAGAATGGCAAGGGGGAAATGAGAGCCCCTGTCTGTTTAATCTTTTCCTTGGTTATGCACACTGAAGCGAACCTTGAATGAGAAAGAAAGAAAGAAAGAACGAAATACACTGAAGAAAGAAAGAAAGAAAGAAAGAAAGAAAGAAAGAAATACACTGAAGTGGACCTTGGATGAGAAAGAAAGCACAGTTGTTTTTTCTGCGATAGACCAGTTGACATCCAAGGCGAAAGAATCCGGTCTGTTCTGCTATTTATCAATATATGGAAGGAAAAGAAGAGGATTCATATCTTTACTCAACTGAAGACATGTTTTCCTCATTTATTGACTATAAATGTGTAAAACATTTCTTCAGTTAATTATTCTTAGCATCGCTTTATAATGAAACTGTGCTCTAAGATTTAAGTTTAATATTCAGATTAAACTTTGGGACTTGAGTCAGTTTCGAAACAGTAATTTCTGTATCGCGATGGAATCGTTTTTTTGTTGTTTTTTTTTTAAATAATTTAAGCTCTACTTTTGTATCTGTTATGATCCGGTTCCTTGTACCACGGTTATGGCCCAAGGTAGAACCAATAGAGAAGAACTCGAACACGTATATGGAATAACACAGATATATTACAAACAGGAATATATACAGAGAAGTAGAAGTGTTAGTACGAACAATCAGGTTTAGTAGTAATTGTCTGAACACGACTCTGTTTCGGACTGCCTCTGACTCGACTGACTGACTCGCTCGCTCTGACTGACTCCTGACGGACTTCACTCCAGACGGACTTCACTCCAGACGGACTTCACTCCAGACGGACTTCACTCCAGACTTCAGACTGAACAGTATTTAGTCCCCCCTCCCGACGAGGGCATCATGTGGCACAAGGCTGGTTTAATGTGGGATCCCCGAGCCCGTGGGCTCGGCCAAAAATATGCCCTTTGAACCCGTATAAACGGGTTCAGGGTCGGTTTACCTCCCCGAGGTAGCCTCGTTCGGGTTCCTCTCCGCCCGAAGGCAGAGAGTTCAACCGATCAGCTGATCAGCCGGTCGCCCGACTTCGGACTGAACTCCCTGCTTCCTCTTGAGGCTCAGTATTTATTACGTATGGAATAGTCCATTATGTTATTATGGGTAAGGTCCTATAACATGTATCAAGCACTGTTTTTTTTTTATTTAATTCTTTGTCAGTTTTGCAATCCTATGAAAATGAAATATTATAAGATGCATTTTAGACACTTGATTTTTTTACCGTAAAGGCAAAAATGTCTCGCAAGCAATAAAAGAGATATGTGCTGTGTAAAGTGAAGCTGATTTAGCTGACAGAACTGTACGGAACTGATTTGCTAAGTTTAGAGTTGGTGGTTATATCTTATTAATGAAGACTGCTCAGGCAGACCCCCATTAGAGATGACGATCAAATCACGACATTGACTGAGAATAACCCGCATTACACAACACGGGAACTGACAGAAACACGAAATTTATCGAAATCCACCATCCATGAGAACTTCATGAAGCTTGGATACTCAAATCGCTACGATGATTGGGTAACACACGATCTGAGTTAAAAACTATTTTGGATCGATATTTCATCAGGAATTTGCTGTATAAACGCAATGATAATACACCATTTTGTAGCAAATTCTGACGGGTAGTGAGAAAATATTAGGTTGCTGCAAAAATAATGATGTAATAATGTCGTTTTTTGACGTTATACGTCAAAAAAACGACATTATTACGTCATTATTTTTGCACCAACCTAACAGACCGTTTACAACAATTTTCAGTGAAAATGATCCTGGGGTAAGCGACATGAGCCAACATTAGCCATATCAAAAGCAGGTCGAAATTTTCAGACATTTTTTATGTTTATACGTTCTTTTTATAGAACTATTTAAGTAAATGCTCTGTTTATAATATATATATATATATATATATATATATATATATATATATATATTTTCTTCTAGTATGTATATATATATATATATATATAAAGACATTTTTTATGTTCATACGTTCTTTTATAGATACAAATATTTAAGTAAATGCTCTGTTTATAATATATATATATATTTTTTTTCTTCTCGTATATATATATATATATATATATATATATATATAAAGACATTATTTTATGTTTATACGTTCTTTTATAGATACAAATATTTAAGCAAATGCTCTGTTTATAATAAACAGTATTATACAACATTCACCGGCCTGAATGTCCGAGAAATTTACATAGAAAATAGTCGTCCTCCGACAGGAATCGAACCTGTATCCTATACGGAACCGTCATCTAGCCTGACGTGCTTTTACCGATTAAGCCACAGAGGAGCGTTTCGGTTAGCAAGGTCGATTTTACTGTTTTTAAACTACAATTCTCCATGATTTTCTCTCATACATTCATATCTGCTCGATGCGTATCCAAATTGTTGGACTTTGTCCATTTCATAATGTGTGACGTCATTTGTTGACATTTACGTATAGGATACAGGTTCGATTCCTGTCGGAGGACGCATATTTTCTATGAAAATTTCTCAGACATTCAAGCCGGTAAATGTAATTAATACTGTCTATTATAAACAGGGCATTTACTTAAATATTTGTATCCATAAAAAAAAAACGTATAAACATAAAAATGTCTTAATATTGAGACATATTTCATTGAATAATTTAGACAAGTTTCGTTTACTTATTTTCAATTGGATATTTTCATATTCACGGACAAGCTTCTTAGTGTTGTTATTAAAGAGAAAATTACGATGTTGATACATATTCATTTTCTCTCTTACTTTAATAACGGCACCAAGAAACTTATCCATGAATGTTAAAGGATGCAGTTGAAAGTAAGTAGACAAAACCTGTCTAAATTATTCAATTAAACATCCCTCGCATGAAAGTATTCTGCCAATATATACGCAATATATATATACATACATATATATATATATATATATATATATATATATATATATATATATATATTTTCTGAGTATGATATATCATGGACAGACAAAATTGTGCTTTAATCGAATATGATTTTTTAAAAGCTGATCATTTAAAACAAATGAATCTTATAATGATACCTTGTGTATAGCCATACTCGACAACGTGATAACAGCCATCATATGTATGTATAAGTCTTACTTATATATATTTAGAGAGAGATTGAGAGGTGGGGGAATGGATCGATAGTGAGGTGAGAGAAAGTACATTTGCCAAGGAAGAATTAATTTAAATGACTTTTGTTAAATTCAAACTACAAGGTCAGTCTGTTTAATTTTTTATTTTACTTTTCAAATTTCGTGAAGAACTGAATATATGGCGGATATACATCACTGTGGTTACATATATATATATATATATATATATATATATATATATATATATATATATATATATATATATATATATGTTTTGTGTGCGTATGTGTGTATGCATAACACTACATAGAAAAAAACATTGTATTTAGGAATTAAGGATTAAATTGGAAATATTGATTGCTGAAAGAAAGAAAGAAAGAAAGAAAGAAAGAAAGAAAGAAATAAAGAAAGAAAAAAAGAAAAAAAGAAAGAAAGAAAGAAAGACATTGTTGAAGGGGACGTTGGATGAAAAAGAAAGAAAGAATGAAATGAACAAAAAAGACATGAAAAGAAAAATAAATGAAAAGAAAGAAAGAACGAAAGAAAGAACGAAAGAAAGAAAGAAAGAAAGAAAGAAAGAACGAAAGAAAGAAAGAAATAAGGAAAGAAAGATTAAATTAGAAATATTGAATGAAGAATGGAAAGAAGCGGATTAAATTGGAAATATTGATGCTGAAATACATTGAGGCGAACATTGGATGAGAAAGAAAGAAAGACATTGAAAGGGACCTTGGATGAAAAAGAAAGAAAGAAAGAAAGAAAGAAAGAAAGAAAGAAAGAAAGAAATGAAGAAAAAAATGAAAAGAATGAAAGAACGAACGAACGAACGAAATATACTGAAGTGGACCTTGGATGAAAAAGAAAGAAAGAAAGAAAAAAAGAAAGAAAGAAATGAAGAAAAAGGAAATGAAAAGAAAGAAAGAAAGAAAGAAAGAAAGAAAGAACGAACGAACGAACGAACGAACGAAATATACTGAAGTGAACCTTGGGTGAAAAGAAAGAAAAGAAAGAAAGAAAGAAAGAAAGAAAGAAAGAAAGAAAGAAAGAAAGAAAGAAAGAACGAAATATACTGAAGTGGACCTTGGATGAAAAAGAAAGAAAGAAAGAAAGAAAGAAAGAAAGAAATGAACAGAAAGAAAGAAAGAAAGAAAGAAAGAAAGAAAGAAAGAAAGAAAGAAAGAAAGAACGAAATATACTGAAGTGGACCTTGGATGAAAAAGAAAGAAAGAAATAAAGAAAAAAAGAAAGAAAGAAAGAAATGAATAGAAAGAAAGAAAGAAAGAAAGAAAAAAGAAAAAAAAAAAGAAAGAAAAGAAAGAAAAGAAAGAAAGAAATATACTGAAGTGGACCTTGGATGAAAAAAAAGAAAGAAAGAAAGAAAGAAAGAAAGAAAGAAAGAAAGAAATGAACAGAAAGAAAGAAAGAAAGAAAGAAAGAAAGAAAGAAATATACTGAAGTGGACCTTGGATGAAAAAGAAAGAAAGAAATAAAGAAAAAAAGAAAGAAAGAAAGAAATGAATAGAAAGAAAGAAAGAAAGAAAGAAAGAAAGAAAGAAAGAAAGAAAGAAAGAAAGAAAGGAAGAACGAAATATACTGAAGTGGACCTTGGATGAAAAAGAAAGAAAGAAAGAAAGAAAGAAAGAAAGAAATGAAAGAAAGAAAGAAAGAAAGAAAGAAAGAAAGAAAGAAAGAAAGAACGAAATATACTGAAGTGGACCTTGGATGAAAAAGAAAGAAAGAAAGAAAGAAAGAAAGAAATGAAATGAAAAGAAAGAAAGAAAGAAAGAAAGAAAAGAAAGAAAGAAAGAAAGAAAGAAAGAAAGAACGAAATATACTGAAGTGGACCTTGGATGAAAAAGAAAGAAAGAAATAAAAAAAAAAAAGAAAGAAAGAAATGAATAGAAAAAAAAAGAAAGAAAAAAGAAAGAAAGAAAAGAAAGAAAGAAAGAAAGAAAGAACGAAATATACTGAAGTGGACCTTGGATGAAAAAGAAAGAAAGAAAGAAAGAAAGAAAGAAAGAAAGAAAGAAATGAACAGAAAGAAAGAAAGAAAGAAAGAAAGAAAGAAAGAAAGAAAGAAAGAACGAAATATACTGAAGTGGCCCTTCGATGAGAAAGAAAGAAAGAAAGAAAGAAAGAAAGAAAGAAATGAACAGAAAGAAAGAAAGAAAGAAAGAAAGAAAGAAAGAAAGAAAGAAAGAAAGAAAGAACGAAATATACTGAAGTGGCCCTTCGATGAGAAAGAAAGAAAGAAAGAAAGAAAGAAAGAAAGAAAGAAAGAAAGAAAGAATGAAAGGAAGAAAGAAATGAATAGAAAGAAAGAAAGAAAGAAAGAAAGAAATGAATAGAAAGAAAGAAAGAAAGAAAGAAAGAAAGAAAGAAAGAAAGAAAGAACGAAATATACTGAAGTGGACCTTGGATGAAAAAGAAAGAAAGAAAGAATGAATGAATGAAAGAAATGAAGAAAAAGGAAATGGAAAGAAAGAAATATACTGAAGGGGATATTGGATGAAAAAGAAAGAATTAAATAAAGAAATACACTGTAGTGGACTTTCAATGAAACAATTTAATAAAAAATAAATGATGAATGAATGAAAGAGCATGTTTCGCCAAGAAAACACTATTTCATTCGATATAAAATTAATGCCTTTGATAACGAAAAAGAAAATACTGGAAAAAATACGAAATAACCGACAGATTGACAAAGAGACAAAAGTAGGCGCCAAATAAAAACGAGAAGAAGCGAGAAAATACGAGAACACAGACAAAATATAATGCACAAGTTTCCAAATTTCGAAAAGATGCCTTTTCCATATAGAAAATAACGTATCGAGTGTTCTCTGGTTTTTAATTATTTTTTTTTCTGTTTTTCAGTCTAATGTTATAAAGAGAATAGAGTCTGACAAAAGAACTTGAGAGATCCGTGTATTAAGAGACGGAGTAAAAAAAAAAAAAAAGAAAAAAAAGAAAAAAAATCGATTCCTAACATTTGGCGGGAAGTGTTGCGGTAGTGCGGGGCGTGACATCTATGGCTGCCAAAAAAGGGCGGGTAAACGAAGGAAGTGTGTAAAAGTGAAAGGGAAAGTGAAAGAAAGAAGAGCAACGAAAGGAAGGAAAGGAACAGAAAAAAAGAACAGAGGAAATGGACCGAAGTTTGGCGTAGGTGTATAATAAAAAAGTGATTGGAGGGAGGGAGGGAGAAAGAAAAAAAGAAAAAAAGAAAGAAAGAAAGAAAGATATATAGAGAAAAATGGAAGAAAGAATTCACTATTTACATTATTCGGACTATTGTCCGCATCTTTGTCCCCATTTTTATTACAACGTTTCGGCCGTTGTACGCCCCGGCCTTCTTAAGGTGGTTGGAATGTCGAACTGAACCCTTTATTTCGCTCACTGGACACATAAAGTGGATAAAGGCGTTGGTTAGATCCAGTGACAGGACCCAAAGAGTGTGAGTTCAATACATGGTTAAGGCGGTGGAGAACTTTCAGAGGGCAATTAACAGGAGATAACTGACATCCATTAAACATGGCACATGAAACTAGAACAGTCTACCCCAGTGATCGAAATAAAGGGTGTACATAATACCTCATCTCAGAAATATAGACAGATACTGAAGGGCCGAAACGTTGTAATAAATATGGCGACAAAGATGAGGACAATAGTCGGAATAATGTAAATAGTGTACATAATACCTCATCTCAGAAATATAGACAGATAAAGAAAGCATTATAGAAAAAAAGAAAAAAAAAGTTAAAGAAAGAAGAAGAAAAATACAAACCGTAAAAGCAATATATATATATATACCAGCAGCATGGCCCGGCGGTACCCGTGCTTGATTCAAAAATCGTACGACTCATACAGCAATCGCTATCACTTGACTTAAAATATTTTTGCCCTTCCTTGCCTTTAAAGAAGTGCCCTTTGCCGTGCTGATGTTGCTACATGCCTTACTTCTTGCCTATCTCACACTGCGAAATTTTCTAAGCTCTATACTAAACATTAAAAAAAGAACTAAACAAAATGAACACAAAACGATTATCTTTAAAAAAAGGACTCGTAACTGGAAAAAACCGAATGAAAAAAGAATGTTAACAACAAATATTTTTCACACCCAACCCAGTTCTGCGGAATCAGAATCAACATTGAGTTTAAGCAAGCGAATGAGCCAATTGGATTAAAGTGCCATGCAGATTTAAATTTTTCTCACTTGTGACGAATGCAGCTATTGATTTTTTTGCATGCTAGCATGCTAGTTAACATTCGTGTCAGTCAGCTGTTGGCTCTCACGCTGGCCAATAGAATCTTCCTGCCTTTTCGTGGCAGCCAGCTATAGGCTCTCACTCTGGCCAGTAGAAAATGGCCGAAAACTACATGAAAACTGCCGTAGAAGCATGAAAAAAATCGATTATTTCCACTATCGATGGAAGTTGGGAAATGCAAAGTCGGCGTTGGCCTTTCCCGCTAACTTGGAGCATGTGCATGTAAATTTGGTGCAAATCCGTCGAAAATTGAGGCCGTGCATTCGTTACACACACACACACACACACACACACACACACACACACACACACACACACACACACACACACGCACACATCCTGTCTTTTATAGATAGAGATGTAAATAATCGCAAAGAGAAAATATATCGGTTTGGAACATAAGTAACTAGCGTTTTTAAGCAAATTTCGAATTTAACGTTATTTAACCTTGTATATGTACATTTGTCCTTGGGACAATTTTGAGACAACTTTATAATTCGAACCTTCGTAAAACATGGCATCTTTCTAGATGATGAACTGGTCTAAGAGGTTTTTAAAAACTTCTAAGGAACTGAATTTCTTCTGAGATAAGGTATCTTGAAGGTCATCTAAATAAACGTTAATACGAAGTTGCATGGTCACGTGAGTCCGGCAGTTGTAGTAGAAACAGGTTTTACGTATTTCTGCCAGATCTGCAGACAGACGTGAAATCTGGCCTTTTTACTGACGGAAGATGGCACCATTCCGATTGACCAATTCCTGGCGCTTGTCATCGATTCCTGGGTTTGGTCAAGTCAGTTCTTTACAGCACTTGTCTAGATTCAAAGTCTGAAGTTCTGGAAGTAGGTCGTAATGCAAAACGCCTTTCCAAATCGCAGTAAACCGGTTTTCAGAGTGGTTAACGATTACTCATTTCCTTTTCATTACGACGTTTTCGCTCCACATTGTTGTAAACAAACCATTTTTCACCGCATCTTGATAAAATAATTGCTTTCACTGTTTAGAAAGTGTCTCGGAGGAATATTTGATTGACTGTCAGAGTAATCTGATGCAGGCCAGCAAATTTTCCCGTGGGATATCTCGTCATCATCTCGAAGACAATCATTGATTTCACTCTTATGAAAGTGCCTCGGACCAATATTCGATTAACTGTCAGAGTAATCTGTCCAAGGCCAGCGAAGTCTTCGGCGAGATATCTCATCATCATCATCTCGAAGATATTTTTTGCTTTTACAGTTTTTAAGTTGTTTTGATTGATTGATTTGATTTTTTGGCTTATCAACCGATTGCCGGTTATTTAAAGCCAGAAAATATTCTTAGATGTTAAGATTTTTTGGAGATAATGATTTAGGCTTACTAATTAACTCGTGACTAGGCGAAGAAGAGGTAGCTTTCCAAAGGGTACTTGCGCGTCAGTGAATATAACGAACACTACTGCAAGTAGAACTCCGCTCTCCGATTAACAATTCCAGTCCATTATTCATTACACCATCCGCACATCCACGCTTCCAGCAGCTGGTATTCCCAAACGGTCGCCCATCTAGGTACTGACCAGGCTCGACGTTGCTTAACTTCGTGTTTCAATGTGATACGTCTGTAAATACTGTTTTGAAATTGTTTGAAAATAATATTTAATTTCCTCTCAGATTAATGTGACCCAGGACTGAGAGGTTTACCGCGAGATATCTCGTCATCATATCGAAGACAGTCATTGCTTTCACTGTTTTGAAAGAGTTTCGGGCCAATATTTATTTAATTCCCAGAATAATGTGACCCAGGACTTGAGAGGTTTACCGCGAGATATCTCGTCATCATATCGAAGACAGTCATTGCTTCCATTGTTTTGAAAGAGTTTCGGGCCAATTTTTATTTAATTCCCAGAATAATGTGACCCAGGACTGAGAGGTTTACCGCGAGATATCTCGTCATCATATCGTAGACAGTCATTGCTTCCACTGTTTTGAAAGATTTTCGGGCCAATATTTATTTAATTCCCAGAATAATGTGACCCAGGACTAAGAGGCTTACCGCGAGATATCTCGTCATCATATCGAAGACAGTCATTGCTTTCACTGTTTTGAAAGAGTTTCGGGCCAATATTTATTTAATTCCCAGAATAATGTGACCCAGGACTTGAGAGGTTTACCGCGAGATATCTCGTCATCATATCGAAGACTGTCATTGCTTTCACTGTTTTGAAAGAGTTTTGGGCCAATATCTAATCCACTCTCAGAGTAATGTGACCCTGTTTTCTCGCGAGATAACTCGTCATCATCTCGAAGACAGCCATTGCATTTACTGTTTTGAAGGTATTTGGAACCAATATTTATTTCATTCTCAGAATATAGTGACCCAGGACTGAGAGGTTTACCGCGAGGTATCTCGTCATCATATTGAAAACAAGCATTGATTTCACCGTTTCGAAATTGTACGGAATCCATGTCAGTGTAATGTGACCCAGGAGAGAGAATTTTCCCGAGGGTTACACCCTGTCAGCGTCTCGAAGACAATCATTGATTTTCTTTTTTTTTTTATCACCATCTCCATGTTGTGTGGAATCACTCACACGTACAGAGCCAATATCAGAAAACTGAAAACAAATAAATTTCCTGCGAGATATTGCGTCAGCCACTTCAAGTTAATCAGTGCGTTCATCGCTTTCATCACGACCTACGCACAATGTTGAATCCAGGAACACATCAATTCATTGCGAGATATTTCGTCAGACGATTCAAAAGAAGAAAAGGAATAGACATTAAAAAAAAAGATAATTATTAGATTCCAGGGCAATTTTTACATCATTAACAGCACGTTATTCACCCACGAAATATTTTGGTTCTTGTTTTTGTTTTTTAAACTTAAACGAGCATATACTTAAGTGCATACACTAGGCTAAACTGTTTTTTTTTTTCGTTCGACTCGATTTGCACGTGTTGAAACTCGACAGGCGATGCGCATGCGTGCGAGTGCAAGATCTCGTTCGCGAGAGACGTACCGGAACGCGATAAGAACATGCGTTCGCGTAAACCGTTGCTAGCAACAGAGAATCGGCCTCGACTAGCAAACGCATGCGCACACGCAGACAGACGCGTTGTTTCATTAACGATGATAAGAATTATCAATCAATATATCCACGCACACACACAACTTACGCACGCACAAAAATAAATAAATATCTGTCCGTGCAGACTGACATATACGCATGGACTTATGCACGTAAAATCGGAGACAATTAAATATACACATACACACATGCACTCTTATCTCCTGTCGTATTCGAACAGCTCAGTTCCGGGGGACCGACACCCCAGACACTAGCGCATATGATTTGATTATAGCGGCGAAGGATTTGTGCAGAACCATCCACACTTTTTGAAGGGCCGAATACAGAGACCTTATGCACTACGTGCCACAAGGTCCCAAAACGACCCTCCGCTGGTTTTAAATTCAGAGTTGCCCTTCTCCGGGACCAGTTGACATCCAAGTCTCTTCTGCTATTTAAGAAGATGATTAATTCCCCAAAAGGGTATTATCACGTATCTGAATGTAATGGAATTCGAACTCGGCTCTCCGATTCCTCTATCCGAGCTACTATCCACTACTCCATATATATATATATATATATATATATATATATATATATATATATATATATATATATATATATATATATATATATATATATATATATATATATATATTCTGCTGAAGCTTCTGGACTTGACTTGGGATTATTTCTTTTATATAATTTAAGTGCCTTTGATTGTCTAGATTCAGATAGTGTAGGATTATATAGAGATGATGGATTATTAGTTGTTAAAAACTCAACTAAAATTAAGGTAGACCGTATTAGGAAAATGATCTATAAAGTATTTAAGGATTTAGGTCTTAGGACTATAGTTACTACTAATGTTAGACAAGTGGATTTTCTAGATGTCACCTTAGATCTTGCTAACAATATTTTCCAACGATATATGAAGGTTAATTCCAGCCCATTATACGTGCATCCTAATTCCAACCATCCCCCTTCGGTTATCAAACATATACCCTCTTCCATTGAATTTAGAACTAGCGCTAACTCTTATAATAAGGAGGTTTTCAATAGACATAGTGATTTTTATAATTCTGCACTAAAAAATAGTGGATACAAAAATACCACTATTCAATATAGAAACCCTGTTAATTGCAACCATAATAAGAAAAGAAGATCTAGAAAGATTATTTGGTTCACTCCCCCTTTCAATGTTATGGTCAAAACTAAATTAGGGCGTATATTTCTAAATCTAATCAAAAACATTTCCCCAACCCTGAAACTAACCCACTTAGTAAAATATTTAATCCTAATACCCTTAAATTAAGCTATAGTTGTGCTGATAACCTGGAGCAGATAATTAAAAACATAACAACATAGTCTTTAACAAGTATAGAAGTTCAAAAGGCTTGACTAATCAACAGGTTACTAACTGCAATACTAATTATAAGAATACTAATAACAACTTATGTAATTGTAGAAATCCGAATAATTGTCCACTACAAACTAACTGTGGAATTACTTCTGTAGTCTATCTTGGTACTATTTCAACAATTGAAAATCCAAATATAAAGAAGTTTTACATTGGTTCTACCATGAAAACATTCAAGGAACGCTGGCGGGGCATATGCAATCCTTTAATCACAGTGAATATAGGTACATGACTTCATTATCCAAGTATTTTTGGAATCTAAAAGATAAGAACAAAACACCTACGGTTAAATGGAGTTTGGTTAAGAAAGCTCGTATATATATATATATATATATATATATATATATATATATATATATATATATATATATATATATATTGGTGCAAAAATAATGACGTAATAATGTCGTTTTTGACGTATTTTAAGGTCAAAAACGACATTATTACGTCATTATTTTTGCACCAATAATATATATATATATATAAAAGGCTTAAACAATAATATTTCATGGTCATAATTTATTCCATTGGAATCGTAAATATCAGACCTATTTTAGATATATGATTGTATATGTATGTGTATATTTACCACTAATATATATATATATATATATATATATATATATATATATATATATATATGTTAAGAAATGGACAAGGTCCGACAATTTTATTTATTAAAGACATTTTTTTTTTATGTTTAACGTTGTTATTTATTTATTATAGATAACTATAACTATAAATATATCTATAAATAACAACGTTAAACATAAAAAATGTCTTAAAATATATATATATATATATATATATATATATATATATATATATATATATATATATATATACATTGTATGTATTTAGGCAGCAGTTTTTCATTGATCCATGTTTCATTAAATAATATAGACAAGTGTTGTCTATTTATTTTATGTAAATAATTTTCATATCGTCTGATAAGCTTAATGACATTATCATTAAACGAAGAAAGAAAATCACAATATTGATCCATATTCTTTAATCCAATCTTAGCTTTCGGCTTACATAAGCCATTATAAAAGATGACAATTACAATGCAATATATTAAGCAATACACGGACAAGACAGTGATGATAGTTTGTTTTCTGTTTATATGGAGGATTCCCAAGCAACGACAAACTCGTGTATAGAAGACGCTGGAAGCATAAAATCTCTCTCTCTCTCTCTCTCTGTATATATATATATATATATATATATATATATATATATATATCACTTACTATATTGCGGTAGGTTTATTCTCTTCTATCTATCTATCTATCTATCTATCTATCTATCTATATATATATATATATATATATATATACATATGTATATTATAGAATGTATGTAAAATATATTTTCTATAAAAACTATAAAATTGTATATAAACATTCGATTATATATATAACAGTGAATATAATTCTTCCTTGATAATGGCTAAAGGTATAGCCGTAAGCTATTGGAAAAATAAAACATTTGGACAGTCTTCGCATAATTTGTCAACATAAATGAAAAATAATTATGAGATCAAATGAAAATTTATATAAAAAAAAACTGACCGTGTCTGTCATATTTAATGAAGCATGCATGAAAAACGTTTTTTGCCTTAATACAATATATATATATAAAGACATTTTTTTATGTTTATACGTTCTTTTCTTATAGATACAAATATTTAAGTAAATACTCTGTTTATAATAAACAGTATTAACGACATTCACAGGACTGAATGTCCTTGAAATTTTCATGGAAAATTTGCCTCCTCCGACAGGAATCGAACTCTGTATCCTATACGGAACCGTCATATAGCCTGACGTGCTTTTACCGATTGAGCCACAGAGAAAGGTCGATTTTACTGTTTTTAAACTACAATTCCCCAAAGATACGCAAAATACAATATTGCATTTTTATTAAATAAGTATTTGTTTAACCATTAAATTATTTTTTTTAAATAGTGAGATTATTTTGTATGTTAAATAAAACATTTAATTTTTCCCCCAAAATTAATGAAAATTTATTGTATTAAGCTTTGCGCCTTAGTAAAACCAACTGTATTTTGTAACCCCCCGACCTGTTTGCACTTCTTCCCAAAATTTGGTCAATGTCTAGTTATTTGAGAAGTTATGACGGACGGACTAACAGAAGTCACAAAATTTTATATATAAATAAATAGAATATAAAAAACTGAAATGACAGAGCTTCTTGGTTGAATAAAAAATAACCTTATTTATATATCAAGGAATCTCTCGTCATCTTCGATGCATGAGTCTCCAACATTTAAGTTCCAAGAACTCAACAACAAGAATAGTCGACTGGAATCGTAGTGAAGTCTTCTGCGGGACCATCCACACTTTTCGTTTGACGGCTTTGAATTAAATTGTTCTCCTCTGAAAATGTTTCCCGGCCAAGACTGAAGACCCAAGTCGAATATACTATTTAATCCATAGGTGGGGGGAAAGGTAGAAATCCATCTATTCTTCGGAGCAGGTATGGGTTAAATAACCGCGTCAGACATGTTTTTTTTTAGCCATTGTTTGAAGCCAGTCTATAAGACAGAAAGCACTGAATAAAAAAACGTGGGGAAGAATTGTTTTCAGATTTCCCTGGAAAACTATGCACCATTTCGCCGCTATCAGTTCTTCCAAAAACTGTGGATCGTTCTCTACAACACTTATAACGAAATCATGTGGGTGGATTAACATTTCGGAAAGCTAAACTGTTAGGCACTTTTACCTAACGCATACACACGCATAAACAAATGCACAGACGCGCACGCGCACACACACACACACACATATACTAATATGACATATATATACATATATATATATATATATACATATATATATATATATATATATGTTATATTCGTATATATGCGAATATAACGCGCGCACACACACACACACAAACACAAGCACACACACACACATAGATAGATAGATAGATAGATAGATAGATAGATAGATAGATAGATAGATAGATAGATAAGAATTTCTTCAAGTATATGAAGGCAAGTGATTATTTAAACTCGTCTGGAGTTTGAATTCGGTTCACTGAATACTCGTTCCGAGCCGCTAGTCACTAACCCACCGACACACCACACACACACACACACACACACACACACACACATACACACACACACTCATATGTGTATATATATATATATATATATATATGTATGTATATGTATATATATATATATGCATGTATGTGTCTGTCTCTGTTTGTATGTACATATATATGTGTGTGAGTGCGTGTTTGCACGTGTCTGTGTGTGTATATATATGTGTGTGTCTCTGTATATACATAAATATGTGTGTGTGCGCGCACGCGTGAGTGTGTATCTCTGAGTATGTATGTATGTATGCATATATGCATATGTGTGTGAGCTTGTGTCTGTATTTGTGTTTCTGTTTATGTAAACATTCAGATGTACATAAAATATATTAGTAAAAGAAGAATATGAATAAAGACAAAAAGAAAAAAAAAGCGTTTCGTCCTCTGATTGACGACACATTTGTCTTCATAAAGTCCATCAGAGTACAGATAAAGAAAGTTTTCTTTTGTCTTTTTTTGTCTTTATTCATACAAATATATATATATATATATATATATATATATATATATATATATATATATATATATATATATATATGGTAATGGATATCGGCTTGGATTGTGGAATCGCAGAGCCGAGTTCGAATCCAGGTTGAACCTATTACATTCCCTTACGTGCTAATACCCTTGGGAAAGGTGTGAATCCTCTTCTTCTCCCTCCAGCTATGGGTAAAATAGCAGGACAGACTGGGTTCTATAGCCTTGGATGTCAATTGGTCTAGAAGGACAACTCTGAATTCAAAATCTGTGGGGGTCGTTTGGGAACCTTGTGGCATTCGGTGCATCAGGTCCCTGTATTCGTCCCTTCAAAAAGTGTGGATGGTCCTGCACGAAACCTTCACCACTATAGTCAAATCTCATGTGCCGCTGTCGGGCTGTTGGTTTCCTGAAACTGATCTGTTTGACCCTCATACGTCGAACCCGACGGAAGAATCGACATATATATATATATATATATATATATATATATATATATATATATATATATATATATATATATATAAAAGTTAACCTGTAGAAAAAGACAATATTTATAAATGTAAAAGACAATAGGAAAACTGTAATATTAGCTTTTCCCTATTTCACCTTTCCTAACAGAATTACTTCTCTCCCAAACAAACGTACACAACTGTATGAAGAAATCAAAAGAAAATGGTTGAATCCGTCAACACAACAATAAAAACAATATTTCCCCACGTGACAGTACTTGACGTAATTTTCAGTTGACAATATGAATATAGTAGCGTTTTCTAAATTCTTCCAATTACTAAGGACATTTTATTATGTTAGAATTAATTACTTTGTTTTAATAGATTCATTTCGGTTTTTCTCTTGAAAAAGACCACATTGGACGAAACGCGCCGGCTCATAATACAGTTTTTCTATTGCACGCACACGCATATATATATATAGACGATGGCTAATACATCTTCCGTTTCATTTTTGACACCCCCACCTTTCCCCGACTTGACACCTTGAAAGTATCTCTATACCGCTACATATTATTAACACCCTACACTCGCCTACCCAATTTAGACAATTCACCCTAGCTGTTACCATGGGGATTTTGATTTCAATTTTTAAAACAAGTAAATTTCAGATATACGTTATTCCAACAAAAAATTCGCTTGAAGATGGAACGGAGCCCATTTTAATTTCAACTCAATTTAATTTAAAGGATTATATTGAAGTTTTCGGCTCTTGTTTTGAAACATGAGACCTCTTATGTAGCGATTTGGAATCATATTTTTAAATAAATAATTATATTTATGCTCTACTTTTGTATCGAACACTATTTTTTAAAAATAATAACTAAAATACTAAGGGACTTTGGATTATTTACCTAACGAGTTCCTTCCTATTTTCTATATATTTTCACACATATATATATATATATATATATATATATATATATATATATATATATATATGCGTGTATATGCCAGCTTTCCCTGACGATCCGTTTAGGTGGAACCTAGGTAGGTTTGTCTGGCTCACTAGGTGTATCTAGGTCTGCTCTACGGTTGTATTGAGCTCTTTTGTTAGTTAGTTGTTTACTCGTATCGGGTTTTTTTCTTTGGGCTTCAGACCTGTATCTGTGCGATTTTTTTCGACAGACTTTCATGTTTCTAGCTCTTTCTTTTTTTAAAACCTTTTTTTCCTTCGAGATTGATTTGTTATTGGCAAATCAAAAATTCGAGGGTTTTTCGAAACGAGTATAGTTACCCATATATATATATATATATATATATATATATATATATGAAAATATATAGAAAATAGGAAAGAACTCGTTAAGTAAATAATCCAAAGTTCTTTAGTATTTTTGTTATTATTTTTAAAAAATAGTGCTCGATACAAAAGTAGAGCATAAATATAATTATTTATTTTAAAATATCCAACTCGCGACGTACATGTAGCATGTTGGAATCATATTTTTAAATAAATAATTACACACATATATATATATATATATATATATATATATATATATATATATATATAGACTACAGCTCGAAAGTTTGAGGCGACTCCTGGTAATACATACATATATATATATATATATATATATATATATATATTTCTATATATGCATCTATGTATGTATGCATGCATGTATTTTGTCTGTGTTACTATAAAGTAAGAGGTGGGGCTGAGATCCACAAAAATACAGCATATGCTCACCTTCACACTCTGAGTCACTATAGGTAGACATAATTAACATTTTTACCTTTTAACACCCACGCACACTCATTCATATATATATATATATATATATATATATATATATATATATACTGTTTTGCTGTATCACAGCTCCTCTGTGCGACTAGACAACCGAATGCCTCAAGCCCGGATCGAAACCCAACCGATTTGGTGTCAGTCAGAGCTTCTATCACTGAAGAGAACAGGTTAACATCGTTTTGTGGCAGCCCCACTGTTTTTTACAAGTGAGAAATGGTGAGAGGAAAATCTATCCATTGTCTGTCTTTGCTAGAAAAATAATCATATAGCCAATGTAAACTTTCTTTTACTAAATGCTTAACATTTTAATCGGTTTAAGGTCGTTCGATCATTGAGGCCACAAGTGTCTTTGAAACCGATTTCATTCATTAGTTTTCCTTGCTGATTGTGATGGGATATTGTCTATTTTCTTTGTTTTGTTTGTCGTTAGTCGTTTTCATCCCATTCAAGGCAATAAAGCCACTAAAACACAAGGGATTATAGGGATCGGACGAATTAGGAACAGAAATATTAATAATGAGCGGGAAGAGAAAAGAGTAATCAGGAGGACAGTCGATATCGTTTGACATTGCATTCAAATTTTTAGAGATTGAAGTAGTCTGGAAAACATGGAACCGGAAAGGAGTTGCACAGCAAGAAGTGCGAGAACATAAACTGTTAGCATAGAATTTACGGCTGTATATATATCCAGCTCAACTGTCTTTCAATTTCAAAAAGTCTACGTACCATAATGAAGATCTCATCAGTTACCATGAAAATATTTATAGAACAAGCAAATGGACGCAACCGAATCGCAGTGGGAAAGTGGCTTAAGTCGAGACGCCAGAGCGGTCCCAATAATAAATATATATAATAATGGATTCTCTCGTCGGTTTCGAGGATCTGGCAGCTAAATTGATTGATAAATTTTGTGCGATAAGACCCGCCAGTGATTTATAAAGGAGGCCACATGTGGAGCAAGAGCGAGGATTGTGGGATGGGATAACTGTTAGATTGGCTGACCTTTTAGTTCTTGCTCTCGCTTCTTGAAGAGGATTCAGACAATCAGATTGAAAACTGATGAGTCCATTCATCAAATAAAAAAAAAACTACATACTTACATACTATAGATATAGACTTATCACACACACGCACACACAGACACACAGACGCACAGACACACACACACACACACATATATATATATATATATATATATATATATATATATATATATATATATATATAATAATCTCCCGTCGGTTTCGATGTATGAGGACCTGACATCTAAATTTATTCAGTTATGAAATTTTGTGCGATAATCTTAAGTGGCACTTATGACCCGCTACTGATTTACAAAGGAGGCCACATATGGAGCAAGAGTAAGGATTGTGGGATGAGAGCACTGTTAGATTGGCTGACCTTTTAGATCTTGCTCTCGCTTCTTAAAGACGATTCAGACAAGCAGATTGAAAACTGGTGAGTAATATATATATATATATATATATGTGTGTGTGTGTGTGTGTGCTCAGTTTTTCGAAATTAGCCGCTATATGTTCACATACATTAATTCTCTCAATTTCTCTTTCCAGATCACTGTTCTCGTTTCTTTTCTTAAAACCCTAATACCACTTCTTATTTTTATTATTTTTACTGCTCTCTTTTTTCTCACTATATCGTTTCTGGTGAGATGACCTATCAAATAGGTCAATGGCTGACCCTTACCCCGCTTCGTCACTTATTCCTCTTATTGTAATAAAAATAAATCCTTCCTCTCTTTCCCTACACTCTCTTATTTCGACCATATCTGTCACTCTCACTCTCTCAGTTTTGGTGTTATACTATAATACTTACCCTGTAATCAACAATATCTTGATGATGACATTGTGCTATGTCGAAAGTACTTGATAAATGAATACAATATGTATCAACACAGCGTTTTCCTAATTAGCTTTTATGAATGGATAGCCGAACGGAGAGGAATTCTTAGCAAATGGAGAAAAAAAACTGCTAATAAGCTCAAGGTAAAAGAAGCTGTGGAGAGCCATTATCGCCCATGTTCTGAAGGATCAGGACCAAAAAAAAAAAATGAAATTTTATCTGTAAGAGAGTAATTACACTTTTGGCTTTAAATCAAACATTCAAACGCTACCCTCTCATTAAATGAATTAATTAATAATTTAATTATCAGATAAAGCAGATAATTAGTTAATTTTGCACTGTTTAAATTAAACACAGACTCCATAATCATTCCCATCTATTGTAAGTGTAAAATCACTCGACGCTAAATTTTATCAATAACAATTACGAAATATCTAAACGTTTGTTTCAAAACAAATGCCTTCCCATTAATCTACATAATTCTTTTATGCACAGTGTATCTTCAGGGCATGGCTGATTATGGCTCTCCCCAACTTCCTCTCCGTTGCATTTCTAAGCAATATTTGTACCTTAATATTCCTCCCATTTAAGGCTCTCTGGTAGACCTTCTTCTACACATGTCTCGGAATGTAGGCGTTCGTGGTTCTCCACAAATTTCCTGTCGTTTGTAGATGTTAAAAAATAGTCAAGCCACCACACAGCACACACAGACTGAAGACTGCGCACAAGCATGAAACAGACTGTCACCACTTGTCGTTGATCTCAGTGTCCACTTTCATATATATATATATATATATATATATATATATATGAAGAAATATGGTTTTAAGGTGTGCTTTATTTATGGGATAAAGTGCTTGGTATCATAGAGCGTATATAAATATAGATATAAAAGTGAACATAGAAGTCAACATTCAGAGGCGACAGGCTGTTTTCATGCTAGACGCAATCTTAAGACTCGTGGCCTGACGATTGCGTCTAGCATGAAAACAGCCTGTTGCCTCTGAGTGTTGACTTCTATGTTCATATTTTTATATATATATATATATATATATATATATATATATATATATATATAAGTGTTCTCATGTTTCAAAAACGAGCGCCGAAAATCTCAATATAATAATTAAAATTAAATTGAATTAAAGTATCAAGCCCTGTTTCATCCTCAAGCGAAAATTTAGGAATAACCAATCTTGAAATTTACGCATCTTCATAAGCATGTTCATTCGCAAAATTAATTACTATGGAAACGGCTGGGGCGACCATTGTAGTAAGGCGTGTAAGAGATAATTTTTATCCACATATCAGTGACCTTCTCAAAGAGGTCAAGTTGAGGTAGGGTGGGGGCATCCATTTCAAAGCGAATGATGGCATGCACGTGCGCACATCGTCTGGTCAGTCACAGCGAAAGATTACTTTTGGCACCTTAGTATATCGTTAAGTGTCTAGAGAATTTTGTGTTATTTTATTTATTTATTTATTTATCATTTTATTTATTTTTTCCCAAAGGGCTGTTTTTGTACTTAAACAGGCCGCACTGAACTACAATTTTTTTTTGACGACGTTATAAAGGGTTTTTCTATCTTGTGATTGGGTTAATCTTTTTCAACCTTTTTATTAGACTAGGCAATTTTTTATGCTAATTATTTAATGCGAAGATTTGTTGATGTCGGCAGAAAACCGTTATGTCTATGGTTTAAGCTCGACTTCTCCATGGAGCACGGTTTTTTTTTTTTTAAATAAAAACACAAATATTAAGAACTCCGGTTAATTTAGCTAACCTGTTCCTATTTTCCTATATATCTGCACAATATATATATATATATATATACATATATATATATATATATATATATATATATATATATATATATATATATATATATATATATATATATATATATATCACCATGGAATATTAGTGTTTAAGCCTTTTTATTATATCCTTACTCTGTCCTGGACATTGAGTTCTATCTGGATTCTATCCTCTTGGAATTTTTTATTCATAAAATATACATGTATGTGTATACACCTATGTGTGTATATATATTTACATATGTATGTGTATATTTACCACTAATATATATATATATATATATATATATATATATATATATATATATATATATATATATATATATATTATATGCGCGGTACTTATTAGAAAGCGCTCAATTTCAGAGATAGAGCTAACACACTTGGTTGGATAGATGTGAGTTTGTGACCTGGGTTTCACGCTTTAGCGATTGTCAGACAAACTCTGACGATCGCTAAAGCGTGAAACCCAGGGTCACGAACTCACATCTATCCAACCATATATATATATATATATATATACCTAAGTATATGATACGGAATGAATTTCAATAACCAACAATTACTATTCATAAAAGAGTGCTCAATACAAAGTAGAGCAGATATAATTATTTATTTAAAAAAAAATTATAACATACATAAACTTTCAGTCCAGTGGAGTAATCCATTTATTTACCATCGGGAGTGATTTTTTTTTTTAAATGAATAATTATATATATATATATATATATATATATGAAATTTTATCAGTAACAGTTACGAAATATCCAAACGTTTGCTTCAAAACAAATGCCTTCCCCTCAAACCCATGTAATTCTTTTATGTGCAGTGTATCTTCGGGGTATGGATGACCATGGTTCTCCCCACTTTCCTATCCGTTGCATTTCTAAGCATTATTTCTACATTACTATTCGTCCTACTTAAGGTCATCTGATATATGCGGTCATAGCTCTCCACCATTACCTGTCGCTTGTAGGTCTTAATAAATTCTGGATTTTTGTTATTTTCTCCCAAGACCTTTCCGCCATTCATTTAGTCTAGCCCACAAAGTATGCTATGCGTTGCTTTTCTCTGTCCCTCTTGCCCTCAAAGTATCCTGTGACACCGAAATCCGAAGTACGCATTGCACTAGCGAAAGAGGCATTTCAGAGCTAAGAAAAGTGCTGAGAAACTGAAAGGTTTCGTTTAAAACAAACATTGAGCTAGATTGCTATGTGATATACATACGCCAGTGAATGCTGGACAGATATAGAGAAAACCGGCTGCAACGGAAATATGGATCTACAGAAGGCTACTGAGAATTCCATGGGTAGAATCCGTAAGCAAGGAGGAAGTATAATAGACGTGAACTTACACTCAGAATGAAGAGACAGGAAGGAAGGCTTGGATATTCTAACCCCCAATGATCAAAACCTTCTTCCTCGTTATATGGCCTCGAACTTTCAACTGTCTCTTCCTGGTGTTAGGTTTAATTATCCTTTTTCGCTTCCATTTTATCTAGAACTTCGTCGTCACTCACATAATTCGGTTCATTGTATCTTCAGTAACCTTGTGTATAAGCCCATTTCACTCGCTTCAATCTCTTATCTTGGAGATTGTCCAGTTTTAACTCTTCATTTTAGTCAATGGCCTCCAGGCTTCAGCTATGCGAATTTTCGCATCCTTTTCAGTAGAATTCATTTCGATTCCTCGATACGTAAAATGTCCCACAGATTTTATTGATTCACCTGAGACGGTTTCTATTGAGTTTTGCTGGTTTAAGTTCATGAATGCAGTGCTTAGAGGCGTCGAATCGTTAGCACCATGTTCTATAAATCTGAAATGGAGATATTTTCGCACCACTGTAAAGACGTCTTTAATGTATGATGCAATTGCTTGGAGACTATCTAAAAATCCTTGAATCTAAGCTTACAGAAAACCTAGACTCGGATTCTGAAAGCTATACTTAACAAATCTCGCCGACAACATCCAGCTAAATCTACGAACCTGCCTCTGATATTTCGACAAACTTACGCCAACACAGCGCGATTTGCAAGACACTGCTGGCGAATAAAACCAGAAATAGCGAACGATCTACTGATCTGGGCACCTAACCGTTTTATAACGATTCTTACGACAAATGGTGTCAAGCTGGCTAAATGTGTCATCCAAAAATATGTAAAAAAAACAAACTCAATTAGTTTAGTGTTTATTTAGATATTAAACATTTGGTGGGATGGACAATTATCTCACGCTTTTACTCAATTTGAACAATATATACTATTGTGAGCACCATTTAAATAACAGTAAGTGTGCGGTTGAATCCGGTGTTAACTAGTTTACTGTTTTTGTCTCCGTCACAATCTTAAATTCATCTGAAAGTACTAGAGTTAATATATCAATCGCGCAAATGGTCTCTCTGCAAACAGCGTGATTGCTTGCTAGGGATTGCTAACATTACTCTCTAGTACTCTCCCCGTTTTTTCCCCTTCTCTATTCTCTCATCAATCATTCGCTAATTTAGATTTATTACATTTTTTTTTTTTTACTCTTTTTCTCTCGATTAAAATACTTTGAAAAAAGGGAGCGAAACCGGTTGTTTTCTTCTTTTATTTTTTTTACCAACATTTTTTTTAATTATACCAAGTAATATTCAGCTTAATTATCAGTGCTCAATATATATATATATATATATATATATATATATATATATATATATATATATATATATATTGATATATTAGTGGTAAATATACACATACATATATATTTGTATAAAAAAATTATTCCAAGAGGATAGAATCCAGGTAGAACTTAATGTCCAGGAGATAGTATGGATATAATAGAAAGTTCTTAAACACTATTATTCCAGGGTCATAATTTATTCCATTGGAATGTGTTTTTGAACATAGAAATATAGGTCCTTGCTAGATTCGATAATCGTTATATTTATTTTTTTATATGTTTATATTGATTTGTAACCTGTAGTTGATATTAATTTTGTCAAATTTTCTTAATTACACAGCGGCCCTTTCAGTAAATGCCCTTCAGTTTTAGTTTCCCCCGCCACATCTCTCTCCCTCACCCCTACTTTTCTTTTCCTCTCCCTCCCTCTTCTTCTGATCTTTAACATTAGATCGTCTATTGTGTGTGTATGTCACCACAAAATGTATCCTTTCCGGTTACATCTTTAATGTATTAGACATCCAACAACATTCATGTTTCTCTCACTTAAACCGTCTTTGACTCCCCTCTCTAAAACTTCTCTCTGTTAAGTTTTAATCTCCCACCTTCTCTCGTCTGTTACACCTCTCTTTAGCTCTAACATTCGTCCCACACTCTCATACTTACACTCTCTCTAAATTTTATTTTTTATTTCCGGAGTTGTTTTTTTTCTGTTTTCTTTTTGAATTAGGTCTGATGAATTGGATCGTATTTACGATTCCAATGGAATAAATTATGACCATGGAATATTAGTGTTTAAGCCTTTTTATTTTATATATATATATATATATATATATATATATATATATATCACCTGCGATAGCCATAACGTAATCTATTATTTATTCTGCAACTTATGTCCTAATAGTGGATATATTGGTGAGTCTGGAAATAATTTTAGATTTCGTTTCAATAACCATAAACAAACAATACGTCAAAACAACCCTTATTCCCCCATAGCTAAACACTACAATCAATCAGGACACACATTAGAAAACTGCAAATGTTTATTAATAGATTCCGATTTTACTTCCACATTCACACGCAGAAAAAAAGAAACATATTGGATTTTAAAATTAAATACACATAAACTAGGGTTGAATAGGTGTTTTAAATCTTTATAAATATTTCAATAGTTAAGCAATTTTTTTTTTTTTAAATATTTATGACAGTTAGATGTAAGTTAGGAGTATCCGAACAGTGACGTTCCATATCACGTCACGTCCGCGTCTCGCGAAGGACGCTACTTGCTAATAAACAGTAATTTTAATTTATTTGTAACAAACAGTAATTTCTGATGAAAAATTGAGGACAATTTGAAATACCAAATATATATATAAATAAATAAATACTTTCATAAAATAAAATATTATTATTTTTTAATTTGAAACTTTTTCTATATATACATATTAAGAAAGTATACGTGGCTTCTCATTATTATATATATATATATATATATATATATATATATATATATATATATATAAATTTCAAGAGGATAGAATCCAGGTAGAACTCAATGTTCAGGACAGAGTAAGGATATAATATAAAGGCTCAAGCAGTAATATTTCATGGTTATAATTTATTCCATTGGAATCGTAATTACAATCAATTCATCAGACCTACTAATTCAAAAGCTTTTGAATTTGTAGGTCTGATAAATTGATCGTGATTACGATTCCAATGTAATAAATTATAACCATGGAATATTACTGTTTAAGCCTTTATATATATATATATATATATATATATATATATATATATATATATATATATATAAAACGATTCCTGTGTAATATATATATATATATAGTAGGCTTACACGGGAATCGTTTCCTTTATATTTTGAATTTAATGTAACTAAAAAAACATTTCGCTTTTAAACTTGCCTTGATAGAAATGGATTGACGAAACGCGTCGGCAATGACTAAAATATATTTTACAATTTTCTTCTTTTTATCCAAATTGTATTATCTTCAGAATTATTCTGAGAAATTTAAGTCTATCTATTTTACATTCCATCCTTTCAAATCCACGAATTAATTGCTAGGTGTCTGTAGAAAATTCAAAAATATATAAACAAACGTCATCACACATGACTTAAACATGTGTTATCGGTGTATGTAGCCGAAAAGACATTTACATTAAATTTAAAAACGTAATGGTATTTTAATTTGTACCACTTAAGAGACTTTTCATTTTCTCCACCTTACTTTAGTT